CTCTTCATTGCCAAGCTTTTTGGACGCGTATACGCCTTCTTCCCCAATAATTAATTTTCTAATTTCCTTTTCATTTTCAAGTAATTAATTCACGTTTTCCTTTCATTATGTTGCGTTCAAAACTCTTATGCAACGCGACGCTTTGTTTATAGAAATCAAACTTAATTTTTATCAGAGATTTTGTTTTGTTTTGTGGTCCTTTGGATGAATACACTCGAGCTTTACACATGGTTATAGTTGATTCATACAGCGAAACTAGCATAAAAAGTAGCTAATAGAAACGCCACGCCCACAGCTTGTTTGTTATATCATAATTAGATTCTAGTTCATGAAGTAGGTAACAGTAAGATATTTTTAACTTGTAATTGACATATCATCTAATTATTTCTATATATTTGTCTATTACAGGTAAGTTGCTTATGAACGACATTTCGAATATCTCCAAGCCACATAAATCCCTAATCTTGACGTCACAGATATTAGCTGTCTCTGCTACAATTTTCTCTTTTCTCAATACTGCTCTTCTCGATAACATACTCTGAATTCTGAAACTCTCTAACCAGCCAAAAGTACCATACTGTTCTCCCCATGTACTTCAAGATAGCTAGATTGATACAGTATTAATTAAAAACCCAACAAGGCAACAATTCATTCTCTCTTTCTAGCTTTCTTTTTCAGATGCAGTCCCCAAAATCATCAGATATAGAACTTGGTCATAAAACTCTAACCATTTGTCCTGAGAATAGCCATAGCCATAACCATCACGATTCTAGCATTTTGAAACCTAACCTAATGTCACATCCACTACCACCGTCTTTTTCTTCTGATCAGATGGGTGATTACATTGGTATGGAGAGCTGTCTTGACTTGAAGAATTATGAATATTTGCGTGGGGAGAGTAGAGAAGAAGAGAACGCGGGAACACGTGTTCAAAACTATCTCCGTGGTAAGAGAGATGAACGGTGGTCAATGAAGAAGAAAGAGTTCCCTCCACCAATATCCTTGCTCGCACGTACAGAGAACCAACCTTCGCATATGCCGTTTGTGTTGAAGAGATACAACACCAATGATGGCCGGTTGATCCTAAGGATGGTGAGGGTGAGGCATCACGAGTATTTCAAGGCCTATAGATCCAATGGTCATCTCACATTACAGCTTGTTCCTCTAGATGACGATGTCTTGCCCCATCCCTTTGCCGATGAAAATGAAAATGAAATCGACGAACAATATTGCAATGCGGAAGAACAACAACAAGAAGAAGAAACAGCAGCCCTGGAAATAGAGACTGAAGATTCGAATGCTATTGGTGATTTTGTCCATAAGGTTGATAATTGTTATAACAATGCTGAGAAGGAGATTATACATAAGGATGCGGAAGAAACAAGGGGTGAATATGAATCTAAAATAGCCGAGTCGTCTGTTGAGAATGGGAGTGTTGCGAATACGATGGGTGGAAATGGAGGAGGCGGCGGCAAGTGTTTGAATTACAACAGTGTGAGAATAAACTCATCTTGTTTTCTAGGAGTGCCAGTACCAGCAATCAAGCCAGTTCATACTTAGCTCTATCACAGAAAAAGCAACTAAAAATCTTCAGTCTTACGGTGTTGTTTAGGGTTCAGTTTGGATACCTTTGAATCACTGGTAGCCTTGTCTTAAACCCTTTAGTCTTTTGATTAAATTTTTTGCAAACCCTTATTCTGCATCCTTTTTTTAATTTTAATTTTTATTTTTTTGGACCATCGATCTTTATCGGTGAAAGAGTTAGTTGTTCGTTCGGGATTTTTTTAAGGGTTGTAGTCCAGCAATGAAATGGCGTTTGGCAGAGTTTAATTTATTTTCGTGTTTATATTTGCCAGTGATTTTCCATATTTTTAATTGTTAATATTTTGCCTTCTCCAACCGATATCATAGTTGACTTGCTAAGCTACCTTGACAATGATATATCTGTTTGAATTTCTCTCTCATTTTCTTTGTGGTAATTCTTATAAGAGGTGTATTACAAAGTGATAAAGATGAAACAATGATTTGGAATCAATTATTCATGTAGAATTATTATAAATTAAAATGGTAAATTTGAGAGAGATTAGACGATTAGTGATGTGAAATAAGAAATAGTTGAATTACTATCTCTTGGCCATCGAAGAAAACAAAAGATGATGAAGCAGTAGTGCACTGGCAAAATCAACATGCAATGGACACCAGGGGGAATGGAGTGTGGCGCACTGGCGCTGGCAGATATAGCAAATAGAAATAGTCCCACTATATGCATGAAGATGTGAGGAGCAATTTCCGAGGGAACTATTCATAAGTTGTTGGGATATAGAAATAAATTGTAGAGTACAGCTACCTCCCAATATCCATTATTGTCAGATCTCATGATTGGTCTGTCACTGGTTCTGCATTTTCATTGTTCATCTCAGATTCCTCAGGACTCAATTTGGCATCTGTTCCGATGCTCCATTAATTATTCAATAACACTATACGTACGCACTGACATGGCATGCCACGTGGCATACCATGTGACATGTGGGCCACACTTCTTAATCCCCCAAAAAATAAAAAATAATTACAATTGCAAAACCAAAACTCCCGCGGTAATCCTAAACCAAATTCCCTCCCTAATTTCATCTTCCTCCTAAATCAAATTCTCTCTCAAATTTGATTTATCCTAACCATCAAAATTTGTAATTCTTCTAATCAAATCTTTATCTATGAAAGAATGCCCACGAGCTCCTACTCAAGATTTTAAGCCTTTGGACATAATAGAACAATGTCCTAATTAATATCTCCTAGAAGGTGAACCCGAAGCTGGTAGGCAAGGTCCTGCCCCTTAGTTAGCTCTTAGTTTTTGTGTTCAATAGGTGGGGGAGGAAAGGAAACAACATATTGATTCCATTGATTCAATTTAATAACCTAATTTTTCAATTGAAAAAAATGACAGATTGATTACGGAGGAGTCGAACCCCCTTACCTTTGACACTAGCAACTAGCTAACAACCTGCCCTCCACTTCCTCTTTTCACTTACTTCTGGCCTTAGATACTCCAACTTTCAGAGAGATCCTCGGAGGAACCAAAGGAGGAAGCAAGCCAGGTGTTGAACTGATTCACATCTTGGACTTCAACCATATCTTGGTTTGTCGAAGTTCTTTGCTGTAAAGGATTTGAAATTGTTACTAATGTTTGATGTTTCGTCCTCAAATCTTTTTAGCAAGTAGTGTTTTCACCCTGGGAACAAAAGTTGCGCTGCCATTCTACATTCTCATGGTTTTTGCACCTAAAGCTGAACTGGTATGTTTTCTGTGTTTATGTAGTAACTTCACTTCAATTTTGTACCCTTCTCATAATTTTCTGAAGTTGTTACCAATATTCTAATGTTTCGTCCCTACATCTTTATAGCTAGTAGTGTTTTTACTCTGGGAACAATAGTTGTGCTGCCATTCTACACTCTCATGGTTTTTGCTCCTAAAGCTGAACTGGTATGTTTTATGTGTTTACCTAGTAACTTCACTTCAAGTTTTGTACTCTTCTCCTAACTTTCTATTTCTTTTTTAGTCAATTGTGAATTTGTGATTCATCCGTAACTATGACTTATTTAGAAGTTCCTTACAAAATTTGTGAATTCATAATATTATTTGAGACTACGAGCTATGCTTTACAAGCACATTGCTTTCATTGAAATTACTTGACGATCTGGATAGTTTTTAGTGTATATGTTAGTGGGCTTTTGTTTACTATATAAGGAAATTTCAAAGCGTAGAAAGAAAATAAAAAAGACGTGTTGTATTTGTTAGGGAGTTGTAGAAGAAATCCCTTTTATGTGATTCAATCCAAGCTATTGCATCAATTATGTTGGAGTAGGACCACTTGTTTCAGGACCATTCTTTTTTCCTAAAAGCAAAATTGTATCGGGTTTTACATAGAATTATGTTTTTGACAGAATTTATCTTTTAGTAATATATCATTGAATGTCGATGTGTGCTAATTAGGAAGCAAATGTTTGACACAATGTACCTTTTATTTAGGGTATTCTATTTACATCAAAATACCAAAGATGGAAGAGTGCAGTAAAAAAATTTCAGAGAACTCTTCCTCTCAAATCAATGTCGTTGAAGTAATTTTTACTTTATAATCCCTTTTTATTCAGTATTATATGGTTTAAGATTTTTTTAATGGTATTATGTCTTCCCATTTTTAAGTATTATTATATTCTAATTTTGTCTATCATAATACCAATTTATTAGGATAATAATAAGCAAGAAATTGAAGATACAAGAATTGTAGAAGATTTTTTGGAGCCTAAGCCTGGAATGATTTTTGATTCATTTGATATGCTTTTCCAAGAGTACAAAGGCTATGGGAATAAAATGGGTTTTGAAGTCATCATAAGATCTTCAAGAAAAGGAGATGATGGAGAGTTGAAATATGTGACACTGTCTTGTTCTTGTAATGGGAAGCGGAATAGCGTTTGTAGAAATGCCTTTAAAATGCAACCAATGACAAAAACTAATTGTAAAGCTCGAATCGGTGCTTCTGTACATTCTGATGGGAAATGAAAAATATGTTCAGTTGTCTTGGATCATAACCGTGAACTCTATAGTCCTGGCAAAATTAGATTTTTCAAGAGCAATCGAAAAATACAACCATACATGAAAAGGAAGCTCGAAGTGAATGATAGGGCTGGGATTAGACCAAATAAAAATTTCAATTCCTTGGTAGTTGAAGCAGGTGGTGTTGAGAATTTGCCTTTCTTACAGAAAGATTGTAGAAACTATATTGAAAAAGCTAAGAGGCTACGACTTGGTGGTGGAGATGCTAATGCAATTCAAAAATATTTTTTGAAAATGCAAAATGAGAATTCTAATTTTTTCTATATAATGGATTTAGATGAAGAGGGTCGATTAAAGAATGTTCTATTGCGGATGCAAGGAGTAGAGCCGCATTTAAAGAATTTGGTGACGTTGTGATATTCGACACAACATATTTGACTAACAGGTATGATATGCCATTTGCTGCTTTTGTTGGTGTTGATTATCATAGTCATTCAACACTATTAGTTTGTGGGTTAATCTCCAATGAGGACATAGGGACATTTGTATGGCTTTTTCAATCTTGGCTTGCATGTATATTGAATTGTGAAGATAGGGCAATGCAAAAAGCAATCGAAATTGTGTTTCCTGGTACACGACATAGATGGTGTTTGTGGCATATAATGAAGAAATTGCCTGAAAAGTTGAGAGGTTATAACCAATATGAATCTATCAAGTTTTCTTTGCAAAATATTGTGTATGATTCATTGACACATGAAGAGTTTGAAGAACGCTGGAATTGTTTCATTGACAAACACAACCTCCAGGTCAATGAATGGTTACTTGGGCTGTATAATGAACGACGGCGTTGGGTGCCGACATTTGTGAAAGATACTTTTTGGGCAGTTATGTCTACTACCCAATGTTGTGAAAGTATGCATCCATTCTTTGATGGATATGTTAATTCAAAAACCACATTAAAACAATTTGTGGAACAATATGATAATGCATTGCGTGATAAAGTGGAGAAAGAAAATGAGGCAAATTTTAAATCTTTCAAATCATGGATTCTTTGCATAAGCACATATGCTATTGAGAAACAATTTCAAGATGCATATACCACTACCAAATTCAAGGAGTTCCAACAAGAACTTGCTGGTAAGCTTTATTGTCAAACATCTTCTTCTAAAGAGGTTGATTCATATGTGGAATTTATAATAGAAGAAGATGTTCTGGTTGGAGAGACTCGCCGTCCTGTTCCTTTTGTGGTTTGCTTTGATGGAGCAAGTTATGATGTTCGCTGCAATTGTCAATTGTTTGAGTTTAGAAGAATTTTATGTCGACATGCAATTACGGTGTTGATTCATAAGAGAATTTCTTGTGTGCCTGAAAAGTACATTTTAAGACGATGGAAGAAAAATATAAGTAGATATCATACAAAGGTTAAGATAAGTTATAATAGTTGGAGTACCAATATTGAAGGACAACGATTTGATAAGTTGTCTAATTTATTTTCTACTGTAGCAGACTTGGCATCTACTAATGAGGATGATTGTAATATGATGATGAACGTGATTAATGATCTTAAGAACAAATTGATATCGACTGAAAGTGTTGGTGGTAATGATAGAAGAGAAAACTTGTCATCCCATAGTATAATGAATTGTGAAAGTGTTGGTGGTGCTTCGAAAGAGGGGAGTAGTAATATTCTTAATCCACGGGCTATTCGTAGCAAAGGTCATCCTCTATTCAAAAGAAAGCAATCGAGCCTTGAACAAATTGTTTGTAAATTAAAAAAGAAGATATTAAAAAAGCAAGAAAAATAGGTTAAAGCATGAAGGTAAAAGCTTAGTAATTAATTATTTTGTTGACTATTTAATTATTTTTATTATATTTATTGATAAATATCACAACTTCAACATATATGTTTCAGGAGACTAGGACGTGGACTCTTCTCAAGTGTACCTACAGTCTAGTTACAATGTTGTTTGTGGTTTGGGGAGAGCTCGGGCATTGTTTCTCATTTTTGGTGTGTTGGTTGCAACCAACTACTTCCAAGTGCATAGCTAGGTGTGCTGCAGGTGACAATTTTTTGGGTTGGTTGCTGGCTGCTGGTGACAATTTTTTGGGTTGGTTGCTGGCTGCTGGTGTGAGCTTTGGCAAGCCTGGTTTTGTGTCTTAGCAATCTGTACAGTGGGTGTTGCATCTCAGCAGCTTGTGCACTTTTTTATCAGCCGCAGGAAGCCGATTTTTGGTGTTTCCACAAGTGTTTTTGCTGGTTGTGTATAGGTTTTTGTGTATAAAGGGTGTAAATCCTTTTGTTGCTCTTGCTTTTTTTGTGTAGCTTAGTCTCTTGTACATGTCCTAAGAACTTGGTTCCTTTGGAGAATTCCCATTTCTTACCGGGTGTATATCCTTTTGGCTATTGAATAGTGATTAAAATTTCAAATATCATTGAATCTAAATTTGCATATTATGATGTTAAGATGAACTGATTGGTTATGTAAATCTACTATTGAAAGTCTAGGTGACGAATTTCTTGAGTTTTAATATTGCATTGTCTTCTTTATATATGTCTTGATATATATAAGGTGTAGATTGATGGGTTCTGTCCCCTGTAAAAAAGAGGACGAATGGGCTGCAAGTGCAGTTTGTGCAATGTTTAGTGGGCTGATGGTGCAGGTTGTGCATTTGCAGTTGTGTAGTGTGTAAAGTGTTGGTTGTAGGTTGTGCATTTGCAGTTTTTGTAGTGTGTAGTGTAATGTTCTGCTTGTTGGACTGTTGGTTGGGCAGGTTGGAGTGGGAGCAGCAGCTTTTGTTATGTTGCATCCTTTTCTCTTTGTTGGTAGTGAAGCTGTTGTTTTTTTTTTTTTTTTTTTTTTTTTTTTTTTTTTTTTGGCACAGTTTTTTTTGCTGTTGCTAGGATAACTAGGCAGGTTAGGGTGTGTCTTGTTTCCCTTACTGGTTTTTTTTGTAAAGGCTCTCAAGATTGTAGTTGTCTTGTGTTCGTGTTGCTTTTGTGTATAAGGATGTATATCCTTAGTGGATGTTGTTTCTTTTTGCATTTCAATATTGCATTATGTGATTTTGTGTATTTCTTTATTTCTTTTCCTCCCAAAATTGGGTAAGTTTACAAATCCTTGCATTAACCAAAAGCTCTCATGAAACTAGTAAAATAAAACTCTACATATTACATCCAATAAGGCATAAGATATATAGAGTACACAAACAACTTGCACATGGATTCACCCGACTACTTTACATTGCTCAACACCATCTTCAACATACATCATATTCAAACAATAATGCACAAGGTCAGATATCATACTTTCTTCTTGCTTGAGCCAACCTAGTTCAATTTTTAACTGCCATGAACAATTGACCAAAAATAAACAAAAAGAAAAGAAAAAAACACTCTCAGAATACAGCTTGACTCCTCAAATGCCCAAATACACCTCCTCAAATGCACAAAAACAATGTCAAAATGCAGCTTGACTCCTCAAATACCCGGATATACCTCCTCAAGTGCACAAAAACAGGTCCAGCCATCACTTCTAGCACACAAAACACTGCACCGAAAGCACTTCTGGAATCTGCCTATAATGTAACAATGTAGCTGCAATAGCTGCACCAAAAAATTCTGCATTTTCACCAAATCCAACCAATATGCAAATTTAAATTCAATGAAATCAACCTCCATACCCTGCATTTACTACACTTTCCACAGCAAAAACTCTCTTACAACCAAACACCAAAGCCCCACAAACAAGCGCCCATAAAACGATTCCCCCTTTCATCAAAATCTTAACTTTCTCAAAATAGGAATCCAAAACTTCATTTTTTTCACGACCCAGTTCTGCAATGAGTAATGACCTTGTTTATTAAAAATGAAGATTGAGATATGTACAAGAACTTATGGGTTTTGGGATTGAGTTTATTAGTGAAAGTGAAAATAGTCAAGGTACACATACAAGTAGTGGCGGTGGCTGTGGTGATTGAGCTCCGGCAGTATGCGACGGCGGTAGGAGCCGTTGAGAGTGGTGGTCGCATGGTGGTTATCCCTAGTGAATTCAGTAAAATAGCTATGTATATCCTCTTTCTTGCCCTTAAAGCTTCTTTCTTTGCCACTAATGCGGGTGGATCGACAAGATCAATGGCTGGCTACTGATCTTGTTTGTTAAGTGAATTCGTTGCTCAATCAATGCTAAGAGATGTTGGAATAGGCAAGGATGCTGGCACTAGTCTCGCTGTTGGTGATGGATCTTTAACAAATGCAACTTTTTTTTGTTGCTTTGCCTAAACCAAATCAATAGGATCTTCTGTTGAAGGTGGCTTTTTAGGAAAAAAAATGGAATTTCATAAATTAATGGAAAGGTTGATGAGGTAGGAATTGTAAAACTTGATTTGAGATGAAAATGAAATTAGGGAAGGGAATTTGATTTAGGTTGCACAATCTGGGAACTGGGAAGTTTGGGTTTCAAATTATATATATATATATATATATTTTAATTTTTGGGGATTAAGAACTATGGCCCACATGCCACGTGTCATTGACGTGGTGTGCCACGTCAGTGCATACGCTCTCTCTTTATAAGAGAGAGCGTACGCGTAGTGTTGTTGTTAATTATTAGTACTACGTGTCCAACGCACTATTTTTTATTCAACTTCAATTTTAGTTTGTAAATTGGAATAATTTACTTGCAGCCTTGCAAGTAGAATCCAGGGTAGTATATACCAAATGTGATTGTGCATAACTAGATTATTCCTTTGGACACTGATCGTACTACATATACGTTGGAAGGTCCTAGCTTCTAACAAAATTTTACGAAAACACAAAAATTTAATTGCCAAATATTAACCATAATTAAACAAGATTTCATAAGTTTCTTTGAATAAAAAACACATATTCTTTAAATTATCATGAGAATGGTCGGAGTAATCTATATTGTAGAAGATGTTGTAGATTACCAAAAAAATTATCTTCTAATTTTGTGTCCTTTTTTAAGGTGTAAAACTAGGGATGAGCAAGAATTTAGGGTAGAACTGGAACCAACGGTACCCAAGGTGCTGGTTTTGGTTCCTACCCAGAACCAGCCCACATAGGGTCGGTTTAGGTTCCTATTTAGTGGAATCGGTACTGTACAATTTCAGTACTAATTCCATCTGTGTTAGGAATAGGAACCAACCAAGAAAAAAGACCCAGAACTTGGATTCGGGCACCCAACTCCCTTATTCCTCATCTTCACTCCTGCCGACTCCTTATCCCTCACCACTCCAACAAAATCTTTCATTAATTTCCTCTTATAACTCCCCTTCTCTTTCTCTACAACTTGGTGCACTTCTTTCTCTTCCTTTTCATCACTCAAAGCCAAGAATCTCCTCTTCTTTATTGCCACTAGAGCAGGAGGAGGCGAAACTAAATCGTCCCTTTTCTTGTTATTAATACCAAATAATTTGAGGCATATTTGTCTTGTGATTTTTCAATCTTTTCGTGCTCTTTGAGGAGTTTAGTGACGGAGCCCTCGATCTGACCTTGAAGGCGAAGGTGCTTTAAGCTAAGACCACCCATGGACCAATGGGCCTCGTTGGCCCACAAGAGGGGCAGATCCATGATGAGAACCGATAGATATACCTATTCAAGGTTGAGCTTGGTGTCGATGTAGATGCGAGACCATGAGAGGTTGTTACCATACAACTTTCTAGGTCCCAGAGGTACTACCATAGCTGATTTGGGTAGGTTTTCAATTGTGTTGGCTTTAGTGAGTAATTTCTAACAAATAGATGAAACTTTTTGTAATTTTGTAAACAGAATGCAAGGTGTATTTGTAATTTCTATAAATAATTGGGAGGGTATTTGTAATTCTCATATGATATATTTGTCAATTTTTGTGAATATTAGGGGTATATTCATAATTTTCTCAAGTACTCAGAATGGGAACCTATGCTTCAAGTTCCAATTCCAGCCATTTAGGAATCATAACAGGTCGGTTCCAGTTCTGGTTCCAGTTCGTAGGAGCCAGTCGGTTCCAATTTCGGTTTCAAATCTTAGGAACCGATCGGTTCCAGTTCCAATTCTGATTCCATGGGATTTGGATGGGTACCCAGACCCGCCTACCCTAGCAAAAACATAAAACCTTAGATAAGGAGACTTTACAAAATTAGATAAATTCTTAGAGCGTAAGGTTATGAGAATCTAAAGTGAGTGTAGAGTCTTGAGCCAAAAGTTCATGTACCAAGGCTTCAACTAATGACTTTGGTCTTAGACCGTGAAGCATGCCTTAAGACCATCCTTTATGTCAACATATCGCAATAGGAACCTAGTTAATAAATACGGGTACGGCAAAAAAAAGGTATGAGAATTTTATGGGTATAATACGACAAATGGTGAAAAATACGTTTGTAAAAATTCGGCCATAAAATTCGGATACGGAAATAATACGGTACGGGTATATACGGGTTTAATACGGTGCACTGTCAACAATACGTTTTGAAAAATACGGGAATATCAATCCTAGTTTTAGCACTTTTCATGGACCACGTGGTTAAAATCTATATATTATTTCAAATATATGGGTATGGCAAAAAAAAGGTACAAGAATTTTACGGGTATAATATGGCAAATGGTGAAAAACATGTTTGTACAAGTTTGACAAAAATTCGGATATGGGAATAATTCGCGAATAATACTACTGAGGCATATACTTCGCGAATAATATGGCTGAGTTGATAAAATACGGCTATTCACGAATAATGCATGGATATTCGCGAACAATACGCGAATTTACTAATTAGGAATTAAGGAATACATCAATGCCAACAAATTAGCCCTAACCCTAGTGGTTTAGCTGTGAGCCTCGGTTTTGAGTCTTTTGACTCCATCAAAAGAAGCAATGTTTTAAAACCTGGCCTGGCCCAACCGATTTAACTAGTTCAACCAGGACTCGGAAGCTTCAACGGGCCGGGTTTATATTTTTCCTATTCACCCAGAACCCTAAGATTTGGGAGGATGATTGGAGAACAATTAACGGTCGGGATGTTGGGGCTTTTGAAGAGAAAGTGCCGGTTAATGCAATGGTAGTGATGGAGTTGATTTTCGGTGAGTAAATCAACCGAAAATCAAACAAAACTGGCAGCGGCAACAACCAGTTTTTGCCGACTATTGGCGAGGCTAACTGGGGTGGG